TAACGTGCTGCTGATTGACTCCCGGCCTCATCACGGCCCACGCTCCACTCCGCCGCCTGACCTGGACATGAGTACCACTCCAGGAAGGAGGGGGGCGCTGTCACCAACACGTGAACACAGAGTGAACCGCGTCACGGTGAACGAACCCTGTTGTTCTGCTCTGATTGGCTGCCGTCGACTTCCTGTCGTTTTAATTCGTGGTCAGAAAACTTCACTTCTACCTGTACACAGCCGTACTGCAGTACTCTGACGTAGGTCACAGTAATATTCCTTCTGTTTCGTCATCATCAGATCAGATGTTGGATTTTACCCACAATTCCTTGTAAATGATGACTCTGTTATCATGAGTCACAGTTTGTCACGGCGTCAACAGGATTTACTTTAACACGCAGTTTTATAAAGTAGTACTACAGTCAGCGTACAAATACTGATACTCTGTATGTACTGTAGTACAGTGCAGAGAACGTGGTGAACAGTTCCACGTCAGGTCAAAGGTCAAGTTAAAGGTCTGACCGTGAACAGCAGCAGCAGCAGCCGTCGTCGTTCCTGCTCCGTTTTCTTTTTTTTTTTTTTTTTTTTTTTTTTTTTCATTCTAACGTTCCCCGCTGGGGGAATTTTTTTTTCCCAAAATTCCTAATGCCTGTAATCCGTCTGCATCAACTCTAATCTGCCGTGTAAAAGTGAAGCTGCTGTCAGTGACTGAGGACAAACTTCTCTCCCTCCGTGTCTCAGGTGAAAATCTGGTTCCAAAACAAGAGGTCCAAGTACAAGAAAATCATGAAGAACGGACCATGTGGACCTGAGGGGGAACACCTGGCCCCCCCCCCACCCTCCTCCTCCTCCTCCCCCTGCTCACTCTGGGACATCGGCATGGCCGCCAAAGGGGCCGCAGTGCATTCTGGGGGATATATGAACAATTTCGGACACTGGTACCCGCCACACCAGCAGGACTCCATGCCAAGGACTCAGATGATGTGACGACAGGTCCGGCGGCCATGATGGATTTTTGGCAGGATTGGCGAACGGAGCCGTCGCTCAAACTGTTTAGCGCCTCTGGAGGCAAAAAAAAAAAAATGGTCGCAAATTTGGGGCAAAAGAAATCTGAGCAGCAAGGTTTTTATTTTTAGAACACAACACAGATGAATCACAAAATATTTTTTTATGTCTAAAAAAACTTTGTCCACTGCCTTGGAACAGGACGGCCTTCATAACTAAATATATAACAATAATAATATATTATAATATATACATATATAAAAATATATGTATATATATTTTTATATATACATATATGTGTATATACATATATACATAAAAAATATATGTTGACATAAACATATATAAAATATATGTATAGGTATATATATACATATGTGTATATACACTATGTGTATATATTTATATTTTATATATGTATGTGTATATACACATATAAAAATATGTATATATATATGTATATATATGTATGTATATATGTATATATATGTATACAGTATATAAATCCGTGCTGTGCCTTTAACAGTTGAACTCTGGTCCATTCGCACTTTGACCTAACCCTGACCGTGACCTTTGCCCTGTGCTCCAGATTAAACCAACAGTTGGATGATTTTCTGCCTCCAGAGCAGCTCTAGACCTAAATAAAAAAATAAAAAAGAAGCTACAAATCTGAGCTGTTCACGGACTCTGAAGACCAACGTCTCTTATCTCGGACACGTCAGGGTTGATGTTTGTTTCTTTGTCTTTCAGTGGGTTATGGATGGATCGGTACCTGGTCGGGTTTTTCAGGGCTTTTTCTTTTTTCTTTTTTTTTTCTTTTTGGTTTTAATTGGAAGCCTGGTTCACACTAAGAACAATTTTTGGTTAAAAGTGATCAAATTAATGACTAATTAATTGTCCTTCTGTGGAATTAGTATCAAATGAGTTCCAACTGGAACCGGTCCAAGACTATGGTGGTTCTGTGAAGCCCACGGGCCCCTGAAGAACCAATGATGGACGGGTTGATGAGAGGACAAGCGTCAACCTACGGTACTGACCCCTGGACTGGGTGTGGGGGAAAAAATAAAAATAAAAAGCACTGACTGGACAAAAGTACTTTATTTTATCATTAAGTCTTAATTGAATAAAGTTTTATAAATGTGTGGAATTTTGTCTTTGTAATAAAGATATTGAATAATATTGATCCAGACAATTATTAATATTCTTTGGAACAATATACTCTGTATATGTATTACACAAACACACAGATGTGTCGATGGCTGGGTTCCATTTAGCTTCTTAATTATTGTGATTTAACGCCGTGACACTTCTGATCTGTTGATGTCGTTGTTCTCCTAATTGACATTAACGACAACATTGACATAATTCAGCCTCTCTGTCAATTTGTCTCAAATTCTCCCCACGACAAAAGTGTTTTAATGTCTCTGGAGATTTAGCAATTTAAAAAACACAGAAAGGATTTTTAATTACAGACATTTGTCTGTGCTGCTCATTATGGGTTTCATTGATTATAATTTTACACTTCACAAAAGAAAAAGTATGAAAACTCACTCCCAGAACTGAACAAACGCCTGTCATGACTCAGCATTTATAACACCAAAATATGTTTTATATAGTTGTATTCAAATATATTTTTTTTTATTGCCTGGGTGCCCCCACCCCCCTCCTCCCCCCAAACTCCCTCATGAATCAAAAAAAAAGTCGGCGACATCTTAAGCAACATCTGGAAAGTCAAGGTGGAGTCATCAAACATCGTCAATGATTTTACAGAACAACCACATCGATTAAAGGTAATTTAGGACACAGCCTGTTAAATAAAGCTTTCACTCCAGAGCTGTAATCACGTGTAATTGTCAGTCAAGGGAATATCTGCACTTCACAGGGGCCGTGAACACGAGGGCACAAGTTCACACTCCACACGTTCTGTCTGATTAATCTTCATCCTATGACGGCCGATCAATCCAGACACTCACACGATCCGTGCACGCTGACGACAACACGCTGACGACAACACGCTGACGACAACACACTGACGACAACACGCTGACGACAACACGCTGACGACAACACGCTGTGACGCCAGTCAAAACATTTACTTTATTAAGAATAAATGTAACACTGAGCTGCCAATATATATGTGTATATATGTCCATATATCCTGGTACAGACACCAGAGCTAACGTTAGCTACAACAGTCCTGGTACAGACACCAGAGCTAACGTTAGCTACAACAGTCCTGGTTCACAATAGACCAGATGACTATTATCACGCCATGTGTCACATCCTGGTACTATTAGACAATTGTTTACACTTACCTCTGTTCACCTATATACCCCCCCCCCCTCACCCCCCCACTCCCGCGGCCCCGCCGTCACAGGGCTGTTATGTGCCGCCGTGTCGCCACACTGTCTATTATCAAGTTTACCCTCAACAAACACGGAGCAGACATTTGCATGACAACAGTCAGAGTAAACACAACACGCTCCCTCACTGGGCGAGAGAGCTTCATGTCCCACAGGAGAGAGTGAAGATTCAGTCTCATTCAGTCAAATTGACAAACACAGATCTCCTTGGCGACCGGCTGCTTTGATTGGCCAGATTAAAAGAAGGCGGGACTTTTCATCAGACGTAAACGTTCAAACTGATCGGCAGGTTTTAAAGTTCAGCCTCACGTTCTGTCGGATCAGAGTCGTTATTCAGCGTCTGTCAGGTCCTTTGTTCTGCTGAGTGTGTATGGAACCAACAGAGTGGTTTCTGTTTGTGTTCTGGGAGGAGAAACGGGGGACGGGGGGGTGGAGGGGGGGGGGAGATCACACCTAAACCAATACATGCTGCATATAAACTGTCAAACCACAAACAGACTCCTCCAGTGTCAAAACACATCATCTTCATCCTCATCTTCATCATCATATTCATCATCTCCATCATCTTCATCATCTTCATCATCTCCATCATCTTCATCATCTTCATCATCTCCATCATCTTCATCATCTCCATCATCTTCATCATCTCCATCATCTTCATCCACTCTCCTCAGCTCACGTCCAAACCATCTAACCCTAACTGTCCCTCTGCTCTGACCTGTCCATCCTGGTGTCTCCCAGAGAAGATCTCATCATCTTCATCATCATCATCATCATCTTCATCTTCACCTTCACCTTCATCTCCAGCTCAGGCTCCAGCCACAGTCTGTAGACCACCATCACAGCAGCTCTGTCTCCATCCACTCACACACAGTAACAGACGACTACCAGGTCTGACTTCAACGAGGAAAAGCATCTCTTGTGCCCCCTGCTGGTCGCTTGCCCTCATGTGACTACAAGCGCCAAGTGAAGCGTTTTCAGCTCCGCGACCTTTTACCATCGATGATGTGACGTGGTGTTAGATGTATCTCATTGGTCGAAGTGAAAACCTCTGTGGTTCAAGACAAGTCCAGTTGAACGACAACGGCCACGGAAAATGACGTCACATCTGAACCCGATTGTTTTAGATGTTGCTGAAGGACGAACATAATGTTGAAATATTTTAAGGACGGAGGGGCAGGGAGAGGAGG